ATAACTGGGCCTTAATATTTTTTTTTTAATTACCACGATGAATAATTTTCATTTAATTACCACATGAATAAATATTATTCAAAATTTAATTCTTTAAAATAATTCATTATTAATAATAAACTATTAAAATAATTACTACACTTTAACAACATAAGACAAATGCCTTCGAATAATTATTCATTAATTAAATATTAATATTAATATATAATATTATAGTTTAATAATTATTTAAAGATATATAATTATATACGTAAAATAATAATAAATATTATTTAAATATTTGTTATCAATGTGAATGTACAAATAACATTAAAATTTTATTTGTTCAACTAATTTGTTATAATACATTATTACTACATAATAAATTATTTAATACTATGATTTAATAATTTCTTTAAATATCAAAAATATATACATCCATAATAATAATTTACATAAATAAAATAATAATAACTTTAATTTAAATATTTTATTATAAAGTAAATTATAAATAATATATATATATATATAGTAAAAAAAAGTAACAATATAATAAACTTCATTCTAAGCTTGATATTATATTACATATAATGACATAATTAACCACTTACACTAGATTGACAATTCCTTAAAATAAATATACAATAATGCATTAAAATTTTATGAATTAATATGAATAATCTACAAAAAAATGGTTATAATAATTTGATAGCAGTTTATAAATAAACCAAAAAAAATGAAAATGCCTGAATGCGAAAAATCATTTTTAGCATTCAATAAAATGTGGACAACAGCATTCGAGGAAGCGTTCAACTTTTTTAAACATTCCTTTGATCCAAAAAATAATTTTTCGTATTTGATCCTTTCTAAATTATCTCTCGAGCATGTTTATTCTTCTTAAGTCAATTACAAACGTGCTACTTTTTATAACTTCGTCAATTAAATTTCAATATTAGTTTATTTATATAATTTAATGTATTCTCTAAGAAAATATCCTTTTATTTTCTAATTTTAATTTTACTTCAAAAGAATTTATTTTAGTGCTTATAACAATTTAATTAAAATAATATCTCTCTATCTTAAAAATTTTACCATTATTTCTCTATATATATATTTATTATAAATAATTATATCCTTAAAAATGATTAAGTTTCTATATATATTTTCTTTCCTAAATAAGAGAATATATACTAATATATATTATATAATATATATATTATTATATAATAAATAAGAGATATATATATATATATATATATGCTTACAATCTTTCATTTAAATGTTAATTACATCATATTAAAATTCATACTTAATAATTATCATAATATTATTAAAATCTCAAATTTAATTTATTTTATAAAATTTCAATGTATGTATAAAAAAATTTCTATAATAACTAACTTACACATCCCAAATAATCAGTTGAGCGCCAGCGCTCGTCTCTTCCATGCCCACCGCTAAAACACAATCTCTCTCCCTCTCGGTCTTACCCTGTCTCCCTCTCCTCTCGGTTTTTATAGGGATGAGCCCAATGACTCCAAAAGATGGAATCGAACCCAAACACCTCGCCTTCATCATAGAAACGAAATGACGAACTTGTAATAATGAATCAGCGCATTTGAGCACTTCAGCTTCTGTGACTCCAATCAATGAAATTGACCAAACCCTCTTCGTCTCCCTCATCTGTTCTTCATTTCCACAAGGCTCCAGTGATGAAAATGGCGCCGACAAAATGAGTCTTCATCTTCGGCTTTCTAGTCTCCTCCGACTTCTTCACGCAACTCCAAGTAACAAAAAATTTGTTCCTTTCATTTTGTCTTCTCGTCTTCTATTTGGGATATTACATAATATGACCACAATTTGTTTGTTAAGTAATCAACATGTAAAATCACAATTCTTATCATCTATGTTGATATTATTTTATCAAGCAATCATGAGAAAAAAATTAGTAAGCTAAAAGGCATTCTAGCAAATGTGTTTAAAATCAAGGATCTTAGGTTCTTAAGTTATTTCCTGGGTATGAAAACAACAATATATTAGTCTCTTAGTAAAAGTATGCTCTGAACCTATTAAAAAAACCGATATGACTAATTGCAAGCTTACTAATGCTGAAATGGATGCTCTCAATAGAATTGAGTCAAACAATGATAAAAAAACAAGGGGCCAAACTAAGGCAACAGCATTTAGCAAGAAAACTCATCTACCTTTCTCACAAGAAACTCAACATCAGTTTTCCAATTAGTTTAGTTAGTTGATACAAATAATCTCACAGGAAAACACCTTGAAGCCCCGAGTGGGATACTAAGGCATCTTAAAAAAGTCACCACAAAAAAAAAAAGATCTATTCTGCAATGAAGGAACAAATAGTTATTGCAGTCATCGTTGATGTTAATTGGGAAAGATTTGTAATTGGTAGAAAATATGCATATGGCTATTACTAGTTTGTAACTTTGTATAGGAAAATTTACTCACTTTGAAAAGTAAAAAATTAATTTGCTGTTAATTGAAGTAGTGTTTAAGCAGAATGGCCCGTGAAATTTGGGAAGGAATGAGACTTAAATGACTTCTTGAAAAACTAAAAGTGTATACTGTAGACCTAATGATAATGATTTGTAACAATCAAACTATTATCAATATTGTCAAGAATTATGTCCATCATGATAAGACTAAACAAATTGAGGTTTATAGACACTTTATGAAGGAAAATTTTGAATAACGGATAATCAAGGTGATTTACACTCCAGTGAGCTAATATCTTTACTAAAGATCTAAATCAATTACAGATTGACACTCTTATATTCAAACTAGAAATTATTAACGCATATTATCAGCTTGTAGGGGAGTGCGAAAATCCTATGAGCATTTCTAGAAGCCTTCAAAGCTACAGCTTGCAGGTCAGCAATCAAAGAACCATTTTCAAAAGACTTCAAGGTGGTGACCAGCACTCCAGCAATTCTTAAAATCCCCCTAGTGATTTTTAACAACCAATTCAGTTCATAAATCACTCTAACAGTTTTCAAATGCCAACATAGTCCTGCAATACTGCAGATTCCATTCAGGGAGAACTTGTTGCATAATCTGATGATCACTTATTTATATGTGATGGAGAATGATAACACATATTTAATTTCATGGATTTATGTACTTAAAAAACTTCTCTATTTTATGTTTTTTATCTTTCTCATTTTTTTCCATAGGACCAGTTAGGAATGTATTTTATTTTTATTGATTTCTATTCTAGGGTTGTGCGCATCTCCTATAAAATGTGAAACTTTTCTTCTCATTTGGATAAGAAAAAAGGTACTTCTCTTCTATTTTTCAACAAACTGTTGTATCATTATTTAGCTCATGCTAGTTCTACAAATAGCCATGTATGGTCTTTATGATTGAGTAAATTCAGCGAAATCTACACTATGTTTCCTAGGTTGTGTGATGACGCCCTCCCCATCTAAGGGTTTCATAGAGCTATGTGAGGCAACTGGTTCCCTGTTCATAGATAAATTACATGCTCTAAACTGTCGACCACTGTTCCTCTACCTCTCAATTCCATTGCACAGATCTATCACTGTTCCCTTCCAAATGAAATAAGAAGAAAATGCTTGGCCTCCTTTCTTTTTAAAGATACTTATATACATATAGTACATATGTGATCCCACTGCAGGTGTTTCGAATATTCAGTCGCTTTTAACCCATTTTTTCTCCAAGTATGATTTGTAATCTAAACAATCCAATTGTAGTTCAGTTTTGTGCTCGCTATAAAATTCCCTTAGCCAAGCAATAAGATGTACGAAAATGCTTGCACTACTGAACATGCATCGTCACCAGCTTGTAGGGGTATAAAAAATGCTGCATCGCAAATAACGAAGTGTTGGCAAAAATCATGAACATCTAACATTGGAATACCACCTTCATCTTGCAGAAAACATCCATTTCTCAAATTCCACCACTAAATTTCAATCAGGTAAAATTCTAGCAAACCATAATTTTAACGGAAGGATTCATGCCTTAAGACTTGTGCTCCGGATCTTATCATCGGGCTTGGGAAACGCATCCACTGTCGCCAGGTAGTCGAGTGACAGTGCGCCACACCCCAACTGGCAGTCCATATGTAACAAAAAGGGGAGGAACAAAAAACAAACAACAAATCAAGCACGAAATCAACTGGTATCGACAGAAGAGACGAAGACCAAGGGAAACACACCACTACTCCGTTTTCTGCAAAAGGCGGGTGACCATCTTGTGAAAACGATGACATCTCCGCCCTGAAATCTCCATGAATGATTCAGATTTAGCTCCATAGAGAGAGAGCAAGAGTAAGACAAAGAGAGCAATACCTTGGCAAGGAACAAGGTTTGGTGTAAAAGGGGGGAGAGGGAGAGAGAGAGAGAGAGAGAGAGAGAGAGAGAGAGAGAGAGAGATACCTCGGGAAAATTCTAGGTATTATGGGAGGGATATTTCGCCGGGCAGATGGAAACGAAAAGTAGAGAGAAGGCGAGCATGTGAGAAGATAAGCCACCTGCATTCTTGATATGCCGGCGATTAATTTCTGTTTTTATTTGTTTTTTAAGGCGGCCAATCCCTCATTCCTGTCTTCCATGAGCATTGGTTTTGCCTCTACCATCCCTCCACCTCTAGCATAGCCTCTAGATGGAGTTTTGATGGAGAGAGAAAGAAACGTTTAAGTGTCAAAATGGGCAAATTATTGCGTCCCGTCAGACATCCAACCCGGACACGCCATCTCATCCGGATGCATCGAGCCCCGGTATTTTTTAGTAACGTGGCGAGTTTTTATTGATGTCCGGACGAATCCTGACACCGGACACAATAATTTGCCGTCAAAATGGGGGTTTCGGGTCGGGTTGGGATCCAATTCAAAATTGATCCGGCATTATTTGTCCAGACTTGAATCCAACCCATTCTTTAAAACGGGTCACTCTCTCGGACTCAAGCTCGATCCTGTACAGAACCAGCTCAACCCTACACGATATGCAAACCCGGGTCTAAATTAACAAACAACAACTGGTTTCACATTAAGTGCGGGTTTTATTTCTTAGTTTATTTGCTCATTCAGTCATTCTAAGAGCAATTTTCATTTCTAAGCATGTTTAATAATAATAAACAATTTACAAAATACAAACAACAAATTATAAAATATAAATTACAATTTGTAAAGTTAAAATTACAAATCAATTAATAAAATACAAAATAGTTTACAGTATATTTTGCTGCTTTCCTGAATTACAAATCAATTTACAAAATACATAATTGTTCACAACAAATCTAAATATGAAATAAATCAGTTTACACTTTGCTGATTTGCTCAATTGCTCCTCCAAAAAACTACTTGAGAATAATCTATCTTCATGTGAATTTAACTATAATAAAAACATTTAAATAGCTAAAAAACTTGAATACATAGCTTGGATTAACCCTCCAAATTATTAATCAACTAATGAATTATAAGTGTAATAAATTTTATCATCCAAGATGGTAGTCTGTACTAGCTTAGTTAGTATCTGATTCAATTAGATAGTATCTGCTCATTTTAAGATTTTACAAATGTCACGTGATTGTAATAACACTTACCTTAATTAGATTCACACTTTCCGTTTAGAAGGTTTATCATCATTGCTCCATAAAATTAAGATGTAATATAATATCAAGTTTTAGTAATATAGCAACTTGCCAACCCCCAAGGCTCAAATAACAAATATACAGCATGTTTAATCCAAACAACAAGTCAATAACCGACAATTGCACAACATATCAATAAACAATAGCAGTTGAGCAGGTTCAAGCATGACAGGCACATGGTGGCAAACAACAATCACAAACCAAAAATAAAGCAGTTAATTCCAAAATCATGCACAGGAAGAGCTCTTTCGAAATCTGTCTCATTGAGTCTTGTGTTGTGGCACGACGGTTGAGGGCATTCGTGCCTCCTGCGAGAAGTCGCGTTCGAGCTACTCAACCTGTCAAAAAAAATTTTTGTTGTCTCATCCTTATTGTTAGCATCACCATCATCAGACATTGAGGCTTACATGAATTTTAGCTAGAACTACAATCCATCATCTCATACACTGCTACATTAGAGCCTTAGTCTACATTAGACATTGGATATAGTTTTAGGAGAAATTATTCTGTGCGAAGGCCGAACACAGCTCTACGTCCGGAGATCAATCAGAATGTGTCACATTAGCCATGGCACAGCGCAAACGGGTGGTGTGGCGCATTCTGATTAGTCTCCGGACAACGTTTTGTGTCAGCACAGAATAAATAATCTAGTTTTACAGGTTCTATATTTCTATTAACACATGACTGGATTACAACTATTCCAAAAATAATGGGGAGCAATGTGACCAATTAATGGTTAATGTGGTCTAACATCATATGTATCTATTGATATTCAGTATGCCCTAAAAATTTTATTTAATTAAAGCTTTATTTGGGACAGCCTTCATACAATTTATAAAGTAGATCTTTAGTGCAAAAAAAATTTAAAAAAATTGTGTAAAAAATTATTTTAAAAATTAGTAAGAAAACTATCTCAAACAAAATCTAATATAAATTTGTTTGCTTTGTACTAATGAATTAGATGGTGTTTGTGAAGAAACACCTACATCTAAGTCCTCTTTAGGCATATCTCCAAATTCAAAATTAACAATCATCGTGTGCTTGGAGGCTTCTAATAACATAAATTCATGAATTCTATCATTAGTGACAAAGTAAATGTAACACCACCACTAATTGGAAGACAACGCACTAGATTAAGGCTTCGTTTATTTTTTTTATGCTTTTGTAAAACATAATTTTAAAAAACATTAGTTCAGAAAATGGAGTTTTCGAACAGAGAAGCACATTTAAAAAGCATTCTCAAAACTACAGAAAAATGAGAAAAAGGAGTTATTGGGAACGTGATTTGACGAACCAAACAAAGCAAAAAAAAATTCCTCCGTTTTAGAAAACGGAGAAGGAAAAAAAACGCTCAAACAAACAAAGCCTAATTTTTTAAGAGGAGCTAAAAACACATTTTCAAATGATTGTTTGGATCCAACTTTAGCTACAGCCATAAACCAGGAAAAAGATAAAACATAGTACTTTTCAAAAATCTAAGGTAAAGTGAAGATCTCAGTTATAATCATCGCTATATATTAGCGTTCTGTAAAGGAAAGCTGAAGGGTGTGAAAAAAGATGCTTCTAGCTACCTATGAGATAAAGGAAATATAGAGCTAAAATAATCTCAACACACAAACTGTACATTTGCATTATACAAAGTTGGAAGTGAGAGAATTTCTGTTAAAGGTTAAGACCCAATTAATCAATTCATATGAATCTGACGCCTGTAAATTCCATGCTCACTCATGCTCCCTCTCAGCTTATACAACGCAGACATCTTTTTCCTCTTTGATCTCAAAGGACCTGATCTATTATTCCTCTCAATTTCTTCTATCTGATTAGAACTATACTCCATTGTTGCAATAGAGTGAGCATTTCCGTAGTCCGTTCGAGGCGAGCCCTCGCTCCACCAACTGCTCTCAAGGCCAAAATCTCCATTGTCGTTGCAGTTTTGAGAGGGAGATGATCCTCTGTGGCTGTAAGAAGCTTCATTGATATCATCCATGTCATTGTAAACCAGCTTTAATGCTTGCACTACTTCTCCCATGAATGGTCTCTGCGACGCCTCGCTATGAACACACATAGAAGCTACTGCTGCAACTCTAGCAAAGTCATCAAAGTTGCAGATTCCGCACAAGAAAGGATCGATGAGCTGATGCAAACCGTCCATACTCGCCATTAAAGGGCGAGCCCAGGTCACGAGATTCTGTGGCTCATGAGAATCAGTCATGTACACAGGCTTGCGGCCAGTCAGAAGCTCTAGTAGAACAACACCGTAACTGTAGACATCACTCTTGACAAGAAGATGTCCAGTCATTGCATATTCAGGAGCCACATAACTGCAGTTTTGAATGTCTCAAAAGGTAAATAAACACTGAAGAGAAATCCAGAAAGTTGCTAACAGAAACATTCATCCTTGGTGGAAAGTTGTGAAGGAAACTAGCCCACGAAGTACCGAATATAGGATTAAGGCTTCATTTGGGACGGCTTTTTTATTTCTTTTTAAAACAGTTTTTTAGTACAACAAATAAAAATTTTATATTAAAAAGCTGTTTTAAGAAGCAATAAGAAAGCCGTCTCAAATGTAGCCTAAGAAAGAATAATCATGATTGATTGTGCAAAGCATAGAATTTAAAAAAAAAATTATATTAATGAGACTTTTCCAATGAATAAAACATAAACCCAGCTGAAATTATCTTTAGATAAGGTGGTAAACTCATTAGAATATACCATTATGAATAGCAGACGCTAAAAATTGTCAGGGGCGAGTCATGACAAAGATGAGCGTGCAGGTATACAGTATAAAAATCAAATAACCTAAATGGGACATATCCAATGTTTTAAGAATATTGATTTTTCTAATTTCTAAAACTAAAAGGCATATTAAAAAAAGAAAAATATATATAAATAAGTGGATAAAATCAGAGGAAAGAAGTAAGCCCATAACATCAATAATTAAAACCAATCAAGAGCCATAGCAAAATGGTTAAAACTAGAAACCTTCGTGAGCAAAAATCAGTAAAATGTAGCAGCAATCCAACATCAAACATCAAACATCAAACAAAATACACATTATACAAACAACAAACATTACAAATAAAATATGGCTAGTTTCATGACACCTAATAACATAACACAACGTAAGATTAATAAGGTCATCATAAATTGCCTTGATTTGTTAGACAGAATAAGAGTGTTTTTACACATGGATTCTTTCAAATGACCCAAAAATCCTTCTGAAAATTAAAAAATATTGCGGCCGACCTTTTGTTTGCCTTCTCTGAAACTTAGGCCTTGTAAGTAAGGCTCACCAAGAGGTAAGATTAAGTTCACCAAGGGCAAATAAGGATGACTTATGATCCTATATTATAATCAAGGTGATTCATATAGTGGGTTTTATGATCTCGGCCTATAGGCAATGCTGCTTGGTAGGTTTCACAATCTCACCCTGTAGGCAAGGTCCGGTTAATTAAATTTAGTTTTTGATGTAAAGTGTATTTTAATGCACTTATTGAGATGACTTATAGAGGCGCCAATATGATTAGATCCGATGCTTGCATGGGCAAATCCACCTTAAGGCCGGGGGGCAATTGCCCTCCTGAAAAAAAAAATTTATTATATGATTCTTTAGGTAATTTGTTCCCCTACGTGTATTTTTTAATCTTTATTACAAGAATTTTTAAGCAATTGTCCCCCTAAAAGTTTTAAAATACTATGGTCTTAGGCAATTGCCCCAATATAATTAAACACATTGTGCAGAGATGTTATTGTTAGAGAATGATGAACTAAATACAAAGATAAATAGTAAAGATAATACAAAAATATCCTTACAATCAAAATTTGTTCCAGGGGCGCTGCCCCCTTGGACCCCAACATATTTGTGAAGTGTACAATGATGAACAAATAGGGGTCGAGAGGCAGCGCCCTCGAAACAAATATTAATTGTAAGGATATTTATGGAAAAAAAAACTCTATACTTTTACTTATAAGTTTAACCCCCGTGAAAATTAAGGTTGGATCCGCCCCTAGATGCTTGGCAAGTTTGAATGGGTTTATGATCATTTGGGTTACTTGGAGGTCTATTGGACCCTCAATGCATGTTTAGGATCATTAAGGAATCCTGAGTATGTCGCATGCTTTTCAATATAGTAGCACAACTATTACTGTCTGTGAGACATTCATAATTATACAATGAAATTTATAGTCTTTGTTCTGTTATTTAAAATATTTAATAAATTATGTTGCGACACCCCTTTATATGCATCAGCATTTTTTTTATACAATACTTGAATTATAATTCACCGTATGTTGCTTGAAGATATTTAGATTGCTCTTAAGATTCCTATCATTTATAAACAATTTTTAAGCATATTTCTTCATCAGTTAGTGCTACAATTAATGTGACAATACATAATAGTCATATTTTGCATTGCTCATATATGTTTCGCATGTGTGCATATTTTATGCGGCAACATAACTAAGTTGACTAGAAGTTATGGGTCTCCACTAGAATCCACCAAATTCAAATATTTTGAATATAATGATAATTGATTTTTTTTATGCAAAAAATATAATTCATATGCATGTTTTTTTTTGGTAAGTCTTGAGCAAAAACATTCTATCAACATGTTCCTCTTCTTGTTAGCATTTTCAACAATGATGACCCGACGCAGTCTATCTCCATTGAGAGGTCATGGGTATGTCGACAATGCTAAAGCCATTCAAAGGTTCCTACCACAACCTAACAACAATAAGGTTACCAGTAGGTTCTGGTAAAAAATAGTCACAATGGGCTGTTTATATCCACGAATTCATATTGAAGCTTAATGAAGGGGGAGAAAAATTCAACCAAATAAAAAATCAATAATGCAAAGTACTTCAATCATTAAACATAGTTAAGATCAATGATAAGAAGTCTTCAAATTCTAGTCATATCAAAGACTGATGGCACGATTTTTATATTAATCAAATTGAAGATCAATTGCTCTTCTGTGTTTTTAGTGCATTTATGAGCAAAGGAATTACCTAGGATGAAATTGAATATCGAATAATAATGGAACGATTTTTATATTAAGACAGTCAGTGATATGAGATACAATGGTGCTAAAGTTTCTAATAAATCTCCTATAAAAGGTGGCCAAACCATAGAAGTTGAGGACTTCCAGGATGTTTTGAGGAACTGACCATTTTACAATGGCTTTCACCTGTTCGAGGTCTGCTGAAACCCCTTGGGCAGATACGATAAATCCCAAGGAAGGTGTATTTCTTAGGATTGGCATAAAGTTGTTCTTTCCTTACGACTTCACAAACCTGCCTTATGTGGTCTAAGTGTTGACTCACATATTGACTATAAATAAGAATGTCATCGAAGCAAACATTGACAAACTTACCCATGAAAGGGCACAACACGTGGGTCATAACTCTCATAAATGTACTCGGGGTATTACTCAACCCAAAAGCCATGACCAACCACTCATATAGATCGTCCTAGGTCTTAAAGGCAATCTTCCCCTCATCACTGGGTCGGATCCGGATCTTGTGGTACCCACTCTTGAGGTCGATCTTGGAGAAAAGAGTAGCTCCGGTCATCATGTCAAGCAAATCGTCTCACCTCAAGATAGGAAAACGATATTTAACAGTGATTCTGTTGATGACACAACTATCAACGCAAATTCTCCAGCCTCCAGGTACCATCCTTCTTCGGTGTAAGAAGCTGGTACAACACAAGGGCTTAGACTTTCCTTGATGTAGCCTTGCGGTCATCCATATGCTTCTTAAGCTCATCATATTCCATGGGTTCATGCGATAGTGGGGTAAATTAGGAAGGGAGGCTCCAGGGACAAGATCTATAACGTGCTGGATGTCTCTAATCATGGATAATTGATCAGGGAGATCATCAGGGAAGAAATCAACAAAGTCACTCAAAATGGGTTGGACCTCCTGAGGAATGGGCTTGTCGAACTCAGTAGAAGTCTCACGGCCAACCAAGGCATACAGGGGTGCGCCTCTTGCTATTTCAGAATCCATGACCTTGGCTGTCACAAGGTTCAGCCCTTTCTTGGGTGTGACTAGAGTGGGTTTAGGATCATCCTTAACCCTGGGCTGCGATGGCAAAAGCTTGATCATTTTGCTCGCATATTCAAACATGAAGGTATTTGAACGGCCATAGATGTGGACATCATTATCAAAGAGTCAAGAACGCCCTAGGATGATTTGTCGAACATCCATTATCAGCATATCACACCATACATTCTCCCTATAGTCAGCGAAGGAGATTGGTATGAGGCTTCATTCTTTCACCTCTAAGGCAGTAGAGTTGACCAAGGCTACCTTGTAAGGGTTAGGGTGAAGAACGGCAGACAGACTAAGTTTAGACAATGATGGAGGAGACAACATTGATGCAGCTGCCACTATCCACTATGACTTTATAGTTTTTATGATGTAGTGGATCGTCGGAAGAATCAACTTGCAAGAAGGATTTAATCCCAATCCAGGGAAACCAAAACAAACACAAGCTTTCTAAGCTTCGAAGAGAGTGATATATCATTCAATGTCTTTCTCCTCTTACACATTCCCTATATAATGCCAAAGTAAGGAAAACCTAGAGAATCCTAGAAGATTCTAGAAAACTTATAACAAACTACATAGGATATCATAAGGAATACTTTAAGCTTAAAATGCTCCGCATCATTCTCCCCTTGCGTCAAAAGAGCTCGACTCCGTCGAGGCGCGTTATAGGGAGGGTGATAGATGTAGAAATCAAAATCAATCCTCCTGGATCAAAAATTTTGCGTCTTTTATACATGTCCACAAGCTCGTTTAGATGAGCCCAAGCCATAAATACAGTAGGCAAGAAATTTTCCTCCTTTATTCGAGTAGAGAGATCCAAAGCTCTCTTTTCCATTGCATTTGATACATTAACTTTCAAATAAGGCATCACAACATCATAATAATTTTGGAACTGCTCCCGTGAAGAATCAGCAAGTGATGCTAAAGCAGTTAAAGCTGCTCCTTGCACCACCTGTTTCCCAATATGAAGAAATACCAACAGATTGTTAACAAAGGCATTCAAGTAAGGAGTCAAAATTCCAATAGCAATAATTGCACAAGGGAAATCATTGGCTTGGATGAAGTATGCATCAGGATTCTCAGAAAAAACCTCTGTGCTTGAGTCTACTGTTGCTTTTATAGCATCAAGTAAGGTAGTTCCAATTGTAAAATTGTTCCCACTAAGTCCTTACCACTCGATTTTCCAACCTCCACAAGACCAAACATTAGCAATCTTGCCATCATATTCCTTCCGACATAAAACCTCGGGAGCGATGTAAGTTGGAGTACC